TGGCCTCTTGTCGCAGTGTTGGGCAAGGGTTCAGATACTGGCGAGCATTGAGGGCAGCGTCCGTCCCATCTTCATACATCTTTTTGAACAAAGCATGAGTCTTCGAGGTCGGTGAATATGTGCCCAGGTGCGCAACAGGCGCGTACAAATTCAGGGTCCATGGTGTTGGACGTGCGCAGGGGGAGAAAGGGCAATTTCGGGATGCCGAATCGGTAGTCGTGGGGCCGAGCGTCTCGAAGTCTGACGTTGAGCACACAAGTGGAATTCGTCATTCTTCTCAACTAACTCACAGCCAAACATCGCCGTCGCAATGTCGCGCCCCTGCCAGCAACGGCGCGCCAGTGCGGCTGCCAACCGGAAATCCAGAGGGTCCAAGCCAACCGGTCCGCCCCCGATAAGACACAAAGCACGCCAAAAGGCAATACACAACGCTCGACGCAGCGAGCGCGGCGGAGCACGTGGCGGGCGTGGTGGAGGCCGCGGAGGAGGTGGAGGAGGCAGTGGTGGCGCCGGACGGGGTGAGCGAGGAGGCGGACGTGGCGGACGTGGCGGACGTGGCGGACGTTTTGCGCAGAAGAATGGCAGGAACGAATCGGGCCAAGACTTCATACCTCTATCCTCTGGTGGCAACAACTTCGAAGCCCTCTACAGGTCCTCACGCAACGACGACTTTGATCTCGATATGGACGGCGACAGTTCCGACTCAGACGAATTCGGCCATGAGTTGCTCGACGACGACATGTATGAGGCCGAGGATATCGAGATCAACGTGCAGGCGCCACTGCCCACGACCGGTCGGGGAAGACAACCACGAGCGCAGATAATGTTTACCGAGGCAGCCGCGGTCGCAGTATACAGGCAGCTCTATCTGCGCGATTACCCACTCAGTACCTCAACTACGCGAGTGCGCTACGGTCTCTACCAGGAGGATACCTCTGCCGATTCGGCCGCATACATCTCTCTCGCACCATCCACAGCGTCTCGGCGATCGAGCGTCATCAGCATCAGCAGCGACACAAGCGAAGAGTCCACAGATGGGCCGACAACACCGGAGGACAATCCGGCACGCGACTACGTCTTCACGTTCGGCATGCACAGGGGCGAGCGGTTCACCGATGTGAACGAAAACTACCTCAGAATGATCGGTGGTCAGCTATACAAATACAGGGACAAGCATGCGGGCCTTTTGGAGGCATTCGAGTACCACAGGCCGGGGCAGGCACGTCTTCGGCCAGACCAGACTCAAACCCAACAGACACAAGCTCAGCTATCGCAGCTACGACAGCCTCCCACACGGAACGCACAAGGGTCTCGATCGAACGCTCTTTCGGCATCAGACACATGGAGATTCCACAAAGGCATTCATCTAGGAAAGCGACTCCATGACGTACCTGAGAACTATCTACGAACGCTAGAGGGCAATCCCTTGGTCAGAGACGCCTGGCCTGGCTTCAGACAAGCACTCCAGGACTTCAATGCCAAGACTGGTAGAAAAGGTCGGGTTTGATCACACGACAACCGTACAATAGCTGCCCTCACGTGGTTGCGCCTTCTACGAGCGTTTGTTGGTGGTCCAAGCGGCAATTTTGGGACTCACCTCATCTGGGCGACCTACAACTTGCAGAACCATCGCAACTCACTGCGACTGCGACCTCTTGGTCTGAACTGTCTGAATGCGCGGGCTTTCTTCGTACTACACACTATAACGTCTGACCCATAACGATACTGCACCTCGCTTCACCATGGCGAGAACCAAGAAACGCGCGCGAGCGGATCCCGAGTTGTCGCAGTCTCAGCCGCAGCTTCACACCAAGCGACAGAGGGGACCGAACGCCATGGCAGCGCAAGCAAAAGAGGAGGCCGACGACACTACTGCGGCAGACGATGTGCGATATATGAGAACGCAGCCAAAGGCCCAAGCACCTATCGAAAGCTCCCGAGCCAAGTCCTTCCCCAGTCAGACATCCGAAATCATTGACTTGACGCTGAGCGACGAGCTCGACGATGTGTTCCCCACATGTTCGTCTAGGTCAAAAGCTCTCCAGGATCAGGCCGAAGAGCAGCGCCACTCAAAGTACGCTCTACAGAACAAGATGACCGGAAAACTTGGCGAGCGCCCTCTAGGTCAATCCAGCGGCGGGCAGGGTACTGAAATCGGCGAAGAACGATGGGCCCTTCCTTTAAAGCCCCCACTCCCTGCAGATCTTCTTGCCCAGCGCCAACAAAAGAAACAGGAGAGGAAGAGGCAGAGGAAGGAGGCGGCCATTAACGTCATAAACGCCCAACGCTCCTATGCGCCGGTCATGTTCACCCTTTCAGAGGCAGTAGCCTTTCTCTGGCAACCCCAGCTAGCGATCACCTACGATCTTCCGACTGGCGACTATGTACCTTGTCAGTAATGTTCCTGTACGAATTGTATGTGAGGCAAATACTGACTTTCTACACTCATCTTTAGATCCCGTTCATAGGTCATACCACTTGGGCGGTATGGGTCGGTACGGAGATACTCGTGTTGCTATGCATACAAGTCTGCCCTATCGTCCTTCCGGCGCTGGTGGACGCGACCCTCGTGCGGATGACCGTAGGTCAGACCGAACGGAGGCTCACGGTCGCTCCGCTTGATCTCAGGGCAACAACACGCGCTGGCCGATTGCGATGAATAGGAATTGGGTCTTTTTGATTGAACCTTCACCACGGCCGCACTAGGTGAGCAAGCATGCTCAACCGCGGGTATCGTGACTGCCTTGGTATGACTGCCTTGGGTCTGGACACGATGTGACGCTTCAGAGATGAACACGATGCTTGGTGGTGGAAAGCAGCCCTAAACTTCAGAAAAACAATCTAAAACATACACTTCAATTGAAAGTACACGTGACGCTTCTTAGAAGCCAATTGAGCCTACCACACACAGATAGTAGATGCATCAAGGTGCTATCCACCCGACACAGGTCATGGGCCAGCGTATCCAGGGCTTATGCTCCGTTGGCAGAGCTTCGAAGATTCCACTCATAACATGGTGTGTCCACCCTTTCATATACCAAAATCTTTCCATGTCGTGCATTAGAACGACAAAGTGCGCGTAGATGATGAGTGGCAGCGGATCGCATTGTTGTAGGCGATCGAGGAAGTCATCGCTCATTCGGTAGAGCCATCCAAACGCCACGTGGTATTCACCGTCCTTGCCACCGTAGCGGTTCGAATACATCTCCTGGAGGACGTTCACGCTGAGCACGTTGTCGTCGCGATCAGCAGGCTCAGACGCGATGCCGATGTGCTCTTTTAACTCCTGAAGATGCCTTTCGAACTCGAATGGCCCGTCTGTTACTGGTAAAAGCCGACCTTTGTTACGGACTGCCGGCGCATGTGTCTTCGCGAAGTTGTCTATCTCAAAGGCACTGAGCGTCGTACGGATGCCGCGAAACATGACCAGCCACTCCGATCTACCGTGCTTACCAAAAGCAAGGTATTCGCCAGCCTGTGGTCCTCTTGCCCAACTGACAAAGCAGATCAATTGGACAGATTGAAGAACCGCGTCGCAGTTGGAGGGGTTGAGTTTGGCTATTTCTGGAGTGACGAGTGCTAGGGCGCATTCATAGTGGTGGTTTGCAGTTGCGGTATACGATTCCTTGCGGTCTGGTCGACATGTGGCGAGATGGAGAGCCGTGAATGCGAAGATGAGGTGTAGCACATGCTCGTTCTTGAATGCGATTTCCTCTGTGGACGATTGTACGCGTGCAGCACCGGCAGGCCATGCTGACAACGAGTGGCATGTAGTCGTCGTCCAGTGATACGTGAGTTCAATCTCAGATAGTGGAAGGCCGCCGGGTTGTCGTAAGTCGTTGATTGCTGGAGCGGCAATAGATGTTGCCGGATACTCGCAGCGGACTTGCCGCCGTTTGCAATTGGTACAGGACGGTTTACCCTCATCGCACTAGCTACTGCATTAGCATGTTGAACGTGAACTTTGTCCTTCAACGAGAGCTCGGCATGCTGTATACAAGGAAACCAAACCTGCTGCCTTGTTCAAGACAGACGTCGCAAATATCTTCGAGATACTCAAATAATATCTAGGTACGTACCTTGATGCGACGCGTCTTGCAATGAACACATCCAGCCCGCGACTTGCGATGAGACTTCCTCGTTATCTTTGACGTTCTTGCCGTAACTTTCCCATTCTGCTCGAATGGAGAAGTTTCCCGTGAATTCAGAAGAGATCCTCCTCTTGAAGTTGATGTAGCTTCCGTGAGTGGCGAATCTTGCTGCATGTTGGTGTTGCTGATGAAGCTGGAGATGTTGAGACGCCAGAATGCGTATTCTGAGCGAGGAGCGCGTATTAAAAGAGACGGCAACCGCTAGTGGCATCCATGGATGTCATCGCTGCTAGCGTGAACTCCTCAGGGCTGCGCAACAACCTCATACAAGAAAAATCTAAACAGCTATGCAGACTACATTAAGATGATAGCATGCGAAGTAGCTGACCCAACATTGATGTAGGCTCCAGGGTGTCCAGTGTTTTCCTAGGTTGACATGCATCGTCGCTAGCATCTTCAGCACGAGAATCCTTCGAACACCGATCTGGCGACACCCGTTCAAACGCGTCAACTAATCATGAGCTTTTTCGTAGCTAAAGCCCCCCACGATGGGTAAAGCGGCGTTGCATTGATCGTTGCTGATCCGACGCGGGTTCTTCTCTCCGATGTTGACGCTAGTGCGCCAGCCCTCGCATTCGCTCGTGTTCTCTTAGAATACGCATTTTCTAGGGACGAATGTCTGGCACACTCATCGCGCTCCACTTAGCAGGACTAAATAAAGCATAATACAGCGTAAAGTTCTTCCTGATGTAGTGAGCCGAATTATAGCCAACCCAGCCGCGTCAGCGCTCGGAATGCATATAACCTCAGGCTGACCCGCTGCTGTGCTCTGGGCTAAACCATCTTCACGCTTTTCTTCGCGACCTCGACTACAAGAGTCTGTACTTCCACTCGAGCGAAGCAACTATAATGGGGCAACCAAAGCAAGCCGAGCCCGTCTACAACAAGCCATCCACAACGTCATCACCGGCCTCCTCGACCCGCTCAATACCATCCGTACCACCACCACCTTATTTCAAGTCGCAATTCATCTCCCCGTCCTCATTCAAGTCCGTAGTGAATGCCAAACTAGACAAGCCCGCCGTATCCCTCTTCCGTCTCAGCATCCGTATCTTCCAACTCGCTTTCGCACTCGCATCGGGCATATCCTACGCCATTGAACTGAGCCATGCAACGAGCACTTCGAAGACGGACTTCATATTCGCGCAAGTTGTTTTTGGTCTTACACTATTGGTGCTAGTCATCGACAGTGTAACAGTACGCAACTACCGTGTCACTTGGATCCCGGAATGGATCTTGGCGGTCTTATGGATTGCTTCTTTCGGCCTCTTCTATACAATTTATCTAAACGGGGATATCGAGCAGGGGTACCAGAACGTGGATGTGGGGCGCATGAAGAGAGCTGTGTGGTGCGACCTCATCAACGCGCTGCTGTGGATGGGAAGTGCACTGTTCTCTTCAGTAATGTGCTGCTCGGGTATCAAAGCCACTATCAAGGCAAAGATGGAAAGACGAAGACAGAGAAAGGAGGCAAGGCGACAAGTAAGGGAGGTTAGTCAGATGGAGCAGGGCGTTATTGACGCATGATGTACAAGTCACAGAGCGAGATACAATATGAGAAGAGGACGCATATCAATTACTAGTACTAGCGAAGGACATGCATACTTGGTATATAGCAAAATCATCCAACCACCATCATTCCACATCAATCAAAGCAGCAATTATATACACACGAGAGATCAAATCATCTACTGGGATGATCGGACCTGCTCAATGCGGACGTTGTCATCCTTCTCGTAGCCGGAAGTCATGACGTTCTTCTCAACGTGCTCAATGTCGATGTGAGCGACCTCAGCCTCATCACCATCGAAGATCTTGGCGACCTCCTCAAGAGTGGGACCACGGGTCTCGACGTAGAAGACAGTGACGAAGATGAGCTCGAGGAAGATCCAGCACTGATTTCAGTTAGCAAATAATTCATCTTAGGGATTATAGTTGTAAGACTTACGGCGTAGATCGTGTAGAACTTCCAGGTAGGGTGGAGATTCTCGAATCCGAGAGGGTTGACGTATTGGTTGATGGTCAAAGCGATCTGGATGAACAAGTTCATGATCATGAGACCCTTGGCACGAATCTTGAAGGGCAGAATCTCGACAGTGTAGGCGACAAGCAGACCAGACCAAGCCAGCGCGTAAGCGACGGAGAAGATCCAGATCATGGCAATGACGGCCTGACCAGCAGCCTTGCTCTTGGTAGCCTCCTGCTGAGACGAAGCGATAGTCCAAACGATGAAGGTAACGCACATGGCTGCGGTGGCAGAGATGAAGAGTGGGCGACGACCAACGCGATCAACAAGCAGAGCGCAGGAGACGGAGACGATGAGAGAGAGAATGGTAAGACCACCGTTGATACCGAGCTGGGTGTCAGCGTCTGTGATACCAATGGAGTCGTAGACATCGGTGGCGTAGTAGGAGACAAGACCGTTGCCAGACCATTGGGAGAAGAGACCGAGAGATGCGAGGAGCATGAGCCTGTACCTGTTGCCCTTGGTCTTGAAGAAGTCGAGGTAGGTGGAGGTCTTCTGGTACTGGAACTCGAGGCGTAGAGTCTCCTTGATCTCAGCAAACTCGAATTGGACGGTAGCATTGTTGGCATCGCCGTTGGCGTGGTACTTGGCAAGAATGGCAAGAGCCTCCTCGTTCCTCTCCTTGGCGATCAACCAACGTGGGGACTCGGGGATGAACCAGATAGCGGCCAACTGAATGACGGAAGGAGCAGCCTGGGTAAGAGCGGGTACACGCCAGCACCAGTCGCTTTCAATGCGCTTGGTACCGAAAGTCAACCATGTGCAGACGATGGCACCAACGTTCCACAAACAGTTGTAGACGGCAGTGACACGAGCACGATGCTGAGGGTGGCAGAGTTCGGTAAGGAGCAGGGGAGACGAGAGTTGAGCAAGCGAGTTTCCGAAACCCATGAGGAAACGTCCACCCATGAAGTAGTCGAGGTTCTTAGCAGCGGCCTGGATGGAAGCTGCGACAATCATGATGACACATCCGAAGGTAATGCAGGCGCGACGTCCAAAGCGATCGGCAATGAAAGGAGCGACGGGAAGCGAGGCAATCGAACCGATGGAGTAAAGAGCAGTCAAGAGACCGAGAGTGTCTCCCTTTGGGTCGCCGAAGAACTCCGTCCACCTGGGCAGAATACGGAGGTTGTTCAACATGGAACTGGGGTGGGTTAGCTTTGGTCAATAGGAGAACAGCAATGGGAAGGCTTACCCATCGTAACCTGTGGTCGCAGAAGCGATACAGATGAAGAAGGCGTAGAAGTAGAGCTTGCGGAGACCGGCGTCGGACCTCCAGTTGACTTTCTTCAGGTGAGGAGCCTCAGCCTGAGCAGCTTCGACGTCGGACCTGCTCTTCGCAACGGCACCCATCTTGGGCGTGAACTTCTGGTAGAGACCCATGGCGTCCGACTCTTAGTCCGAGGACTGCTTGTTGAATCGAAGTAACGAGGGAATGAGTGAAGGTTGGTTTGAAACACACAACCTTACACTGTCCTGGGCAGCAGGGTATATAAGCTGTTGACTTGTCGGGTTGGGCTAATTGCAGCTGAGCCTGGATAGATTGAACATGTTGGTGCTTCATATATATGCCTCCCGGCCTGCACGATACTATCCTCGCAGAGGACCTTGGCTCCAGAACAACGGTCTAGCGGACCGGTTAAATTCGACTGGAGAAATGTGTGGCACTCTGCGCGGATGAACCGCCGTATGGGGTAGAGTGGGCGGCAAATTGCCCAAAACGGTGGGGTCAAGGGTAGCTTGCCCAGACCCCAAGCTTCGTCTTGCCCATGAACGGATCATCTTGTTACCAGTGTCAAGTCGGCCTCGGCGCGCGGGACGGTCAGCCGTCAAGAACAACAAGAAGCCTAAGCAATGAGGCTCATTTGTCTTGTGATGGAAATGTTGGACCTGGCCTGATGGATGCATGCCTACAGTGCGACAAGGCCCGCCAGCCCGGTATGCCCTCGTGAAGCTCACCTGGGCAAGGACAAGCCTCCAGCCGCGACCTTGTTCCGGCTCGGCCATACAGGCTTGACACTTCCGCCAACCTTCTCGAAGGTCGTGATCAGCTGCGAGAGAGTCGCATGCTACGGTTGAATAGATTAACCAGCCACTAACCCCTTACTCTAAGCTCACGACTCCAGCGACCGAGAACGTGGGTCTGACAAGCGCATTTTCAGGGTCTCCCCATAATGATTGGGGCCAGCCTGGGGAAGACAGCAGAGGACGCGGAGCCGAGGTGATGAGGCGTGGTTGGCGGAAAGATGGAGCCGGATTTCCCCAGCCTGCTAACTCGATGATGCCCCGAACACGTGATGGATGGGAGGCACGGGCTAGCGCCGAACGGCAGAACGCTCCTTCGTTCATGGCCAATCCAGCTCAATAATACACTCCGCGGAAACTCCACATCTGCAATGCGATATCCCGCTTTTCTTCTTGCACCGTCAGCGCCTCGAGCCGTTCCCCAGAGGTTTCCCCAGACAGCTTCCCCAGAGATCAACGACAGCTAACGCGCTCCGAGGAGACCTCATGCGATACATTGCAACTGCTTCACCGGGCTCATTTAACACATCCTACCATCGTCTTATTTGATAGTACACGCTGTAAGCAGCACAATCCCTGATTAGCGTCCTGTCAACGTGATTCGGCCACCGTATAAACGGGCGGTCTCGCTTACGCCTGGGCGATGTCTGGGCCAAGCCGCCAACGGGTGGCTGGCTCTTCTTTGAATGCCAATCTTCCAACACTCTTGATCAGCCGAAGACGCCATAAGGTAGATGAGATCTAAGCATCCCACTGCCCAGCCTGCACCGGCTGAATCACAGCAATTATTGAATGCGTTGCCTGCAGCTTCCCACGGCCCTGAACGCCTTCAGCTCCTTCGCTGGATGCTCTGGCCGCTGTGCCCTTCCTTTGGAACCCACAAGAAAGGGCCTGCATGCGCGGCTGATGCGGCAATTGCTTCTCCAATGCTTGTTAGCAATCCCGAACGGGCTTTCAGCAGACTTGGCTACTCTTGCATGCCGTGCCCGCCCGCACCTAAGCAATCTTTGCCTGCGTTGGCATTCTGTCTTATCGAAAAGTCAAGTCTGACTGCATCAAAAGCAGCCATGTCCGATGCATCACCCAGCATGGTGGGTTTTTGTACATTGAGGGCGCCTAATGGTCGCGCAATCACATCGCTTTGTTCTGTGGGTTAACTAGCATCACGAGATGGGCAGGGTACTCTGTCGGATCACCCCAGACAATGTGCACGGAGTCAGCCCAAGTATCCACAACGCCCACCAACACCGAATCCTTTGAACCTCGCTTCCAGCCAGAAGAGCCACCAGAGCTTGGAATAGTCTACAGTAATCATGACTATGTGGTGTACCGATGCTGGTTTAGTGTACTCCGACTCCGATCATGCGCAGCCACTCAACGAGATCCCACGCTCGGACCGTCGTAGTTGTCGGGATCTCCAGCCGTTCTTTCCTCTACAGGGGCAGAAATCAATGAATGACCGTTCGAGGCGGCTGCGCGAGCACGAGATCTTTGAAGGTCTTAACCAAGGCCTCCACGGTCCCGTTGGCCGCCGTCGAACACCACAAGCGCCGCGCCACGAAACGACACAATTATCCTCAGAGCCTTGCCACTGGGGTATTAGGCTAAAAGGCTTCTCATCACGACTCGGTGGCTGCTCTAGTCGAGCCACTTGGTAGAATATCTCAAAAAAGCCAGTTGGGACGGTCAGTGCCGATTCAAGGTGTAATAGTTCATCGTATGTCGTAGTGATCGGACCCAGTCCTCCATTTCGTTGGTGCAGTGGTATGTGATCGCCGTCCATGGACGATTCGGTCCTCTGTCTCTTACTCATGTGTTTCTTCTAATTGACTTGAAAATAGACACGCGAGGAGACTGCCCATATCCTGAACACGATGCAAGAATAGCCTGTACCAAATGGCGACCAGTCTCCGATCTTTCACCGTATCCTTCCACGACGCGTGATATTTGACGATATCGCCACGACCTTTGTACAATGGTGTATGACATGTGCCGTCTGCAGATGTCCTGCGGCTTTGCTTTTTCAGCCAAGCAAGTATGCGCATCCTGCGACACATCGCAGTGGTGAGAGCGTACCGTGTTCTGCGTATCAGCTGACGCCATGTCTAGTTGTGTGTGCGCCGTTTGTATACCCGCCGAGCGTTGAACGCGAATACGCCGGGATGCAGAGCACAGCACACCCCCATGTCTTGGATGCGCGCATCTCAATCAGATATGTCTCATGCTGACCGATAGCTCAGTAGTGATCTTGACAAGGAAACATGAGCTGCACTGTTCCGAGTAGGACCGCGTTCAATTCATTTCCAAATGCTGTGTCGACACCTATACGCCGGTAATCGGACCGAGAAGTAATATCATGGCCATATCCCGTTGTGTCAATTGACCGGTCTTCTGATCTCACGCACTCTCTCCGGCGAGTGGGTATTGTATTTGTTAACCCTTGGTATCAATGACACAAAACTGCGAACAAGGACTACAGTCTCGGGGACCCCGTCGAATCCACGCTTTTGGGTCAGACGCCACGTCCACGAATTACAGGTTATTCGCGCACGATAGGCCTTCTCAGCTATCTAAGACAGACACCAAAGCATCCGGGAAATCAGTCTTTTGCAGGACGACAAGTTGTTCTCAAGTCGAAGCAACGAGGCAAGAAGCAATGCCGAGAATAATGCTGCAAGCCACGACGGATGCTGATGAGGAGCGTCATTAGCCCAAACACTGTATTGGTTGGGTGCGCTTGCCAACTGTGCAACTACCATCCATTGCCTCTCCAGCTCGGTTTCCCCAATGACGAGTACAAGGCTGTATGCGTGCGCACTGTTTGTATGCGTTAATTTGCAGACAGGACAACAAGATGCTCACTAAGTCGCAACAGCTAATCATAGATTTCTAGTTGATGATACATACCGACGAACGAAGCGCTCATATCACGAGACTTACGCACACCACAGACACGGACTACAACGAACTGCAGACACGGGACTGCTGGAAGAGTTGTACCCCACCACAACTGCGTCTTGATCGTATCGCGTCCGCCAGGCTGAGTGGTATGAACCATCATCACTATGGTAGTTGTTGATGAGCTGGGACCGTTGGAAGCGATGAAACCCCTCGTTGAACGTCAGGCCTTGTGCGTATGGGCTCCAATCGAAGAGGCTACCGTGTTGCGCGTGATGGCTATGCAGGCAACGAGTGCAGGTATCGTTGAAAATGAGACAGAATCTGGACCTAGTGCCGGGCTTGCGCTCTGTCGACATGTACGGAATGGGAAACTTTCAATGGTTGACAAAGGCGTAGGGCAGGCGATGCATGCGGCATCTACCTAGGCACTCAATAACGAGGAAATTGTTTGCCCACCTCGTAGCTTGCCAGCAGTGTGAGGCATTGCTAAACATCATATTTATAGGTATGTATGGCCTCCGTCAGCTTTTTGGCTATCCAGAGACGTGAAGATGTTCTTTCATCGTCTTGGTCAGCTAAAGTGGGTCCATTCGCGTTCCGTGGAGCGGCCGCCGCAGTTCGCGTAATGACTTTCCGCGTGCAGGCGCCGTCATCCTCCGCATTGCATAGCCACACTCGCCCAGGACGTTACGACCACGATCAGCAAAATGTGGAGCAGTAGCGGTTTGATACGAGGAAAGAAGTCTTGGGGCCGCGTCTGAATTCTTGGGTGTGCCACCGAAGATGCGCAGTTGATGTCCTTCCTACACCATCCAACTTAGCAACAAAACACTTCGGTCCGTATCTACTCCACGTTCGCTTTTCGCACACACGTTCGCTACCAGTAGACATTGCATCATATATTGGATCATGTTTGCGAAAACAGGCCTTCTTCTACTGACTGCAGCGGCGGGAGTGGTGAGAGGCGACTTCATGGTCTACACAGAACCGCCAATTCCCACGTCCGCCATTCCAACCTTCGCCAATCCATCCGATGTACGTTGAGCGCGAACCTGGGAGTCTACCGCTGTACTGACAAATACGCAGGCCCAGAGCTGGACCACCTCCGTCTTCCTCAACGCGCAAATAGCGTACGGTCGCTTCACGGAATCCCTCGGCGAGCCCTACCAGTCCTCTCTCACGTCCGCGCGCTCCGAAATCGACGCCTTCGTTCGCACCGCCTCGAATTACAGCATTCCGGCTGAAGTCACCATGGCCGATGAGACCCCCACATACTTCTCCAAGCCAGATTGGTATACAGCCCTGCCGAGTGCGGCGAGGTCGTTCAAGGAACAACAGGTCAGCGATCAGTTCAGCATCGTGAGGAACGTTATTGCGGCGAGGGCTACCTCTACGACGGGTTCCGAGGGAGCCGCGATGCCGACTGCACTTGCTGGACAGTGGCTGGGGGCTGAGTTCGGCGTCATGGCTGCGGCGGCTGCGGCTGCCTTCTTGTGAGGAATACAAGAATTGCACCATGGGTAGATCGCATTTACACGAATAGAGTTCTAGACTGCAATTGTACCCAGGAGGTACGCGTCAAGACTATGCATCATGCTATACAATGGATATATGGCGCGAAGAATGCCAATGAACGCACCTGTGCTCCCAAGGTGCAGTCAATCTGGAGTCCACCTACCATGTAATGCATTGATCAGCGTAAGCAAACCAGAGATGTGACATGCTAGCACATCAAGCCAAGTTGATGTACGCCCATCAAATCCTCCGCGAAAAGCACACCAATCACGCACGTCGCTATACGCAGAGGACCCACTCCTGACTATGCATTCTTGGCGACAATGGCATGCCAATCTAAGGGAGACAGTCTATAAGAGGGCATACAGAAGATCCAAGGAGACGTGAAGCAGCCATACTTACTCTAACAACAAAGAGTCCATCCGTCTTTCCACAATGTCGACTTCCGAGCCAACCCACACACCACAACTCCGTCCTTTCTCAGTCCACGTCCACCCCATTCCTCTGACCGAACCAAAGACATGTGCATACGAGCGCCGCCATTCCAACTCTGCCAAGTGCAAGAACGCCTTGGTCTTCATTGGTGGGCTGGGCACTGGTCCGCATACAACCCACTACCTAGGACCCTTGAACGACGCCTTGGAAAGCGCGAGTCTGAAGGAGGGGAACCATGTACATTATAGTATCTGGGAGCTGAGAATGCGAAGTAGTTATACGGGGTTCGGATATGGAAGCTTGAAGGAGGATGCTGAAGACTTGAAGGAGTTGGTGCAGTATCTGGAGGAGATTGGGATGAAGAAGATTCTTTTGATGGGGAGTTCAACTGGTGAGTTGATGCACTACTATTCTAACGAGACGACGAGCCCTTACTTGGTTTTGGCTGTTTACTAACGTGCAAGAAGGATGTCAGGCCATCATGACATACGCGACTACCCTCCCAGCGCATCCTCTGGTCGATGGCTACATCATGCAAGCTCCAACTTCAGATCGCGAAACAGCCGGACTGCTCATGCCACAGGATCTCATATCCGCTAGCATCAAGTACGCCGAAGCCCTCATTGCGAAAGGAGAAGAAAGGACCATCATGCCCAGCTCCTTCATCCCACCCATTATCACATCTCCGGTAACAGCATACCGCTGGCACTCTTTAGTCTCTATCGGAGGCGACGATGACTTCTTCTCCTCTGATCTACCAGTTTCCGCTCTGCAGTCCACATTCGGTAAACTAGACAAGCCGACGTTGATTCTGATGTCAGAGAAGGACGAGATGGTTCCCGCGTCTGTGGACAAGCAGGCCTTGCTGAAGAAATGGTTTGCTACGATCCCAGATGGTTTGGCGAGTAAGCAGTGTCAGGTCGTTCCATTCGATGCGGACCATGAGCTCTCTGGTGGTGAAGCAATGCGGTACTTCATCGAGACGGTTGTCAAGTTTCTCGAGGGAATTGATGAGAAACCAGCTGGAAGGACATGAAGATAGTCAGATTGATGGATTTCGAATGCATCGAGCTTCCATCACGATCCCCTCAACATCCCTCCTCGCTAAAGCACAACACCCCTGATTTCACCCCTGCTCCTCGTCACGGTCAAAATGACGTCAGCGGCCCATCTGCACTCCACCCACTCATCGCACCTTCCCCTCGCGCATGTGCATGCGCAATGTAGCGACCCCGCTATGTCATGCATCTCGTTTTCCAGGTTTCTGGTTCAATGAATACACTATTTAATCGCTAGTGTCTAGTCTATGTTCTTTCTTTTGACGATACCAAGCAGTCTCGCCACCATTGTCACGCTACCAAAGCGCTCGAGATGGGTATACCGTACTCCCGCCAAATCAACGCTGCATTCGAACAAGTAACACCCCTCGTAGCGGCCGGCTTCAAAGTCCTCCGTACAACACGCGATATCTCGATCTTGCTTGCGGTCATCCAAGTTCTCACCGTTATCCTCCTGGGATTTATTCTTCTCGCGCTCGTCCTGCTTTTATACTGCGTGAATCCGGACCTGGAGGTTCGTCTTTCCTTCTAGAATATCGGAGCTGATGATTATAGATACTAACACTATGTAGGAAGAAAGAAAAGCCATCGCCACGCCATGGCTCCGGTACTTCGCTAGTATCACAATATGGTCGATATTTAAGACCTTGTTTTCTACGCTGGTCGTGATGGGGCTTGCAGCAGCGGCGACATGGCACTTTTTCGTGGCGAAGCAGTGGGTGGAGGATGTGGAGTACGACGCGAATGTCGACGCTGATAAGGCGTTGTCGGACTTAGAAGGAGAAGGCGAAATTGAAGGTAGCGGCAATGGAGGAAAGAAGGGGAAAGGTAAGGGGAAGAAGTAGGCAGAAAGTTCGTTGGAAGTGACAATAATGTGATTTGTCCAAGAAACCCCGTGTTGAGAAGAAGATCACACCGGTCCTACTTGACTACCGTAAACAACATACCCACAGCAGTGAACAACACACTCGCCGGCATGTCTCCGAAAGCCACATCTACATGTAACACGAACCTTACAACACCCTTTTCCGCGCGCTAAACCCGTCACTATCAAGCAACAACAGCGCAAACAACCCTCCCATAACCGGCCTAGCTTTGAAATCAATACCACCAGGCTGTGTCCCATCATTCGTCTGATAAAGATCGGTAAAAGGATGGGAGTTAGGTGTCTCATTCACCCACTTCGCCAGATCCCCAATAAACATATCTCTCGTCTCCTTACTCGCTACCGCAGCACAGAATACCTCCCAATCGGACTTTGTGTAGTACGGATTCCGGGTGTCGAGGGGTACACCATACCTTTCCTTGATGGTGGGGTAGAAGGCAGATTGGATATCGTAGATTTCCTGGGGCACGAGATTGAGCCCGAGGAGACGGTCGTTGTAGAGGTTGTATAGCAGACCGTGAGTGGTTTCGTTTCCGTAGTTGAGAATAGAATGAGGCGGGTTGTCGGCCTTATTGATGCCTAGATCGATCCAGCGGGTGATGTAGTCGTGGGCGATGGCGGTGTAGTTATCTGCGTCTGCGGTTTCGCCGATGATGCGCGCCATTTGGGACATGGCTTCGAGACCGATGATGCCTTTCAGTGCGAGGTTAGTTTGGTTTGCGAGTGCGCCCGCGAAGTCGTCGGTAGAGAGTTGATCGGCTGGGAGGAGACTTTCTTCTACAAGATATTCGGTCCATTGCTTGAGGATGGGGTAGTGTTGGGTGATGTAGTCGGTGTTTCCGGATAACTGGACGTATGCGAGCATCATGAACATGTGGTTTCCGCATTCTTCCAGTGGCATGTGTTCGTCCAAACCGTCTGGGTGGCCGGTAGCGTTGGGGTAGTGCGCTCCGAGATCATGAATAGCGAACTTGTTTGGATAGTGCCCGCTCTCCTGGTTCTCGAAGTGCGGGTCAAGCAACAGCTTGACTAATTCTGGGTTGGTGTAGTAGAATATCGGGGTGGCGGGGTAGATGACGTCCACAGTCTGCATGTTTCCGTTGGATGAGATTTCCTTGAGAAAGAGGTAATGTTTGTCTTCAGTCCCCACAAGCTGAGTGGCACCGAACGCCTGACGAGCAGCCAAGCTAGTCAGTACAGCGTAATCATCTCCTGCAGCTGCTTTGGAATCCATAGAGATCTTATCGTCGAGCTCCGTGGAGAGTTTGTTGGACTCTTCGTAATCTTTGTAGAAGAAAGATAGCGCGGTGAGATCGTCTCCGAAGTAGCTCTTCCAAAGTGATGGCACGTTATTGAGGCCGTCGGCGCCCAGAAACTGGATAGCATCGTCTTGACATAGACCGATAGTGTACAGCTGGCTCTTCACGTCGGAACCGACGGAACCCATGTTTAGAGCGTATCCAAACACGGGCCACTCAGCGTTAATTGGTCGGAATACGGAGTCTTCCGCGTTGTCGAGGCTTCCATCGTTGTCAAAGGCATCGCGGACTTCAGAGTCTGCGCCGGACTTGTGCGTAAGACCTTCGACTGCTTCTGTGGAATAATACTGCTAATGTCAAATCATGGTTCCCTGCCTTCTGGTGAACCACTTACCCAATTACCCCATTCTGCGCGGTCGTTGACCTCACTCAAAGACTGTTGGTTTTGCTTCCAGATCTTGTGATAGCCGATACCATCTGATGTAGTACCGTAACTCCACTCAGCTACAGCAGCGACATCACCAGACGTCCATTCTATTTGCATGTTAGCTCAGTCGCATGCTCAAACAGAGAGCTAGAGATGCTTACCAGCACTGATATCAGTATAGATCTGCACGTCATGTTGAGAACCGTCTAGAGACGAGACCTCGACGTCCATGTACGAGAAGATGAGAGATTGTCGCTTGAAGTCATTAGGAGTTATTGGTGACAGAAATGTGACTTTGAGCTGAACCGTGTCGCCCGCGGTGATGGTGAAGATGCTCTTGGTCGACGTATATTCGTATGATGTCTGATTAGCAAAGTCGTTGTAGCCATCGGGCTTTCCCATCCAGACGAAGGTGTTGCCATCGAATTTGATCAAACCAGTCCATCCTAGAATTTGTCCGCTGATTGATGTTAGCATGCAGCCAATAAGTAGCGTTGAGAGGGATCTTACGTCCAAAATGATGGCCACTGGCCTGGAAGATAGCCCCCATTTCCTCCATCACTACCGGCAGGGAACCACGTGCTCAGATATGGACTCTTGACGGCCAGTGGTAGGGAGGGTGGACGAGCTGGAGTGAAGGTCGAGGTAGATTGTGCAGCAGTAGTAAGAAAGAAGGTGCACAGCACACTAAGAATGGGAAGATACATCTTCAAGAATGCAAAATATTGATACCGGGCATGCGCGCAAACTTAGAGTGAGATGGAATACGAAGGTTATATAGACACGAAATCCCGAGTCGATCTTCCGTTGGTATTACCTCGTGCTCCCAGCAGCTAGCAATGAAAGATGCAGGCACCGGTGCGTGAAAATGGCCATTTCGTTTGTCGAAGGGGCCGTGATGACAGCTCCACGGTCAGCACTAGCTTGGATTTAACGTTCAAGTGACGATACAAATGTCAGGAAGAGTTACCGGCGAACCTAAACAGCATGGGCGAAGCGCCGAACCTTTTTGATATTAGACCACATGATGAAACTTTAGTGTCACCTTACATTGTAGGCAACAAGTCCATGAAGCTCACTGACAAGGCTTTTTATCGGTGGCCAAGATTCTTGGTTACTTTGGCATATGCGGTGATTGACCGCATCCGCAGAGGTACGCCTGACGTGCATCATAAGGTTATGCCAGGCTAGCTAGCGTCTGTGAGTACAAGGCTGATCAGTCCTCGAGACATGATGTCGGACTCGTGGTAATCAGTCGGGGAAATCAGGCGACCTTTTCTACTGCACTCTACGAGCTTCAAAACGAGGCCTTGCCTGATTTGGTAGAGCATCCACCACGCGGAATTAGAGGCGCTAAACAACGGTTTGCTTCCAGGACGGCAGGAGTGGCGACGTGAGTTGGCGCTGGCAGAATCACGATCCTCGTGATGCGACTGCTGCGGTGTTGATGAGCGACGAAGCACCGGTGTCCAGTAGTAGAGAGTACAAGTGACGTTGAACCGCGGGTTTGGAAGGAGTGGTACTTACAGTACACGAGCGCACTGCTAGCGTTGTAACCGTTTGGATAGGGAAGGAGCTAAAGCACTCGCAGCGCAAAAACATGTGTGGGTGTGAGATACCCGAGAAGAGCCAGCCACGATAGCGCAACGCCGTCCGTGCTTGGAGCAAAATGTGTGGATGCGACGGAACGTGTGGGTGTCGTACTGCGGGGAAGGCGTGCGCGGATCCGGAAAGTGCCATCGACATGCTTGCAGGTTCTGTATCTGGGGTTACCACCGGTCCAACGCGGTAGCACGAAGACCACGACTGTGAGTCTTTTGGACAACGTTGCCACGTTGTGTACGTTAGCTGTCAAGTACCATGTGAGCACAACGATCATGAGACAGACAAGACTTGTAAGTAGTGACAATACATTGCAGAAAGCTCATAAAAGTATGAGGTCGTATAAGCCGCTGATAGTCGCCTGCGGGCATCACAAATAATGGAGTCTGTGGTGAAAACCACGCTCATCTGGGAGCCAAGTAAAGTACAATGCATCATGAGGCCATCCATCCTTTGACCCAACCATTGATAAGAAAACGCCGGGAAGACCGGGATCATGAGTGGAATAATAGTGCAGGGTATCCAAAAGCCAACGGAAGTGACTGAATCGCAGAATGCCGGGTGATAAGCGAACACCAAATATGAGCAAGAAAAAACGCAATGCAAACCGGGTATCCAAGGCCTGTCCAACACCAAACGTAACTCGTACAAGAAAAATCATCAGCTCATGACTCCGCAACCCAAGGGCGAGCCACGTGCTCGAAGCGTTGCTCGCAGTCGCGCAACAATGCGCACTCTAGGATATCATGGACGTTCCAACGCTTTTCAACGTCAGCCTCAAGGCAACCCCTGACCAATGCGAGGGCGTCGTCGATGTTGCCTGCTTGGGCCGACTCTGCGTTACGTATGAGGTCCGCGTCCCATTCGCAGTTCTTGATCTTCTCAATCGTCTTGATGTCGAGGCCGTCGTTGAAAGGTAGAGTCGCGGTGAGTAAAGCGAAAACAACTACACCAAACGCCCAGATGTCCGCCGCAGGTGAGAATACAGGTCCAGGTGTATTGAACAACTCAGGAGCCGCATACTGTAGGCTACCAGCGATAGAAGTACTAGTCTCCGCGGGGCCTATGTTCTGGTTGTCACCGATCGAGTGTGGCTCGGGACCATCGCGCTGGTCGCTGACAATGAAGTCTGCCATGCCGAAATCGCAAAGGAGAAGATCGCCGCCGTCTTTTTCAGCGTCGTTTACAGTCATGTCGAGAAGACAGTTCTCGAGCTTGATGTCGCGATGTACAACCTGGACGTCGTTGTGCAGGTAGCGCATGGCTGACGCCAGCTGATAGGCATAGCGCTTCACCAAGTGAGCTGGTAGTCCGCTCTTCTTCTGGCGGCGTGTGTCGCGGATCAGGTCGAAGAGAGTCCCGCCCTTATTCAGCCTGGTGATGCAGAAAGTGGCATAGTCGGTGGTGTATACCCTGAGGAGTGGAAGAATGTATGGGTGCCGTAGGAAGCGCCAGATCTCCACCTCGTGGTCGAACTGTGTCTGGATCTGTTCGTTCTCAATCTCAGACTTGTCCTGTTGCAGCCTGCGCACAATCTTGACAGCATCGATGACAGGTTTTCCGTTCTCCATGCTTGTAACCTCCTTCACGACGCTGAAGCCACCGTAGCCAATCTGTTTTCCAATAATGTACTCGCTGTCATAGCCAATGCCTTGGCCTTCGTCGTCTGGCTCGGGCGCCTTGATTGGGGCCTCGGACGCCTTGTAACGCGCCAGGAAGGAGGCAGCCGGCGACATGGACGACAGAGAACGGCCGGAACGGGCAGACGATCGACGGCTAGTCCTCTTCACACTGCCGTCTTCGCCAATCTCCGATCTCCAGCTCTTGGTCCGAGGTGGGCCGCCGCGGCGCGGAGAGGGCGAGAAGAGGGGAAACTCCATGGGGGAGGTGGCAGGCATTGGTGAGAGCATGTACTCGGACGGCGCCTCGAGAGGTGTTTGCGCCTCGTCTAGCGGCGGCGAAGCGGTAGTATCAGACGTCAAGGATGCGACTTGGTCGCGGTACTCGGAGTCGTTTGCCAGGTCATCTACGGTGGACTGGACAAGTGGGTATCGGGACTCTCCAACGCGGTACTGCATGTTGCGGCGCATGGTGTAGGGCATCTCCATGTAATCTGGTTGCGAACCATCCGAGTAGCTTCCATTTTCGGGTGTGCGTGAATGCGACTGCCGTGAAGACTTGGGCACGGGCACGCCCAGGCCAACGCCCTCTCCCGTGTCGAGCCGGACTTCATTGTTGAAGCTGATGCTCGTCTTTCGCTGCCTGAATTTGGCTACAAAATCCTCGTCACTTCCGCTGCTGCCTACAGCCAGGGAGCCCTCATCGTCGGACTCGGCGCGCAAGTCGGCGCCATGGTGGTCACGCGTAGGGAAAGAGGCGCGCGAGATATTCTGCGGTTCTGCAGCAGCGAATTCAGCGGTTAGCTGGGACTGGCCATAGTGGTTGTGCGGGGACTGTTTACGGGCTAGAGGCGCGAAAGATGCAAAGGTGGAAGCGACGGGTTTGTGGGGAGTCGAGGTGTCGAGTTTGAGCTTCTGGAAAGTGTGTGAGGGTTCTGAAATTGGGGCCATTAAACCGGTTCACAGTGAGAGCAAACCTCTTCTTACACCGGCGAGGGGGTGTATTAATGTGTGCGGCGATCGTGGGGTGAGTCGCGCGGCGAAGGGCGAAACCGGGAAGTAAAGTAATAAGATTATGTTCGGGCTTGGTGACAGCGGAGTGCTAGCGGAACGAGGAAATTGCACGCGCGCCGAGCCACGGTATGCCTGGGGAAATTGCTCGGGGTGGCAATTGATTGATGGATCTGGGGTGTAGTTGATTGAGGAGAAGGGCAGAAGTGGGAAAGGAGGACATAGTTCTTTGTCCAGAATATTGCTTCTGGTCCTCCGCTCGGAGCCTCCCCCACGCATGTTGTTAATAGGCGGCCGTCAGCGGAGGCGCGGGCGCAGAGGCACGTGAGCGGCCGTGAACCAGCCATGCAGTTATGCGCGCCTATGGGACGCGTTCGCAGGGTAATCTACTGCTTTTGCGCATAGCGAGTGGGTGCTCGGTGAAGATTCTGGGCAGTCTAGCGTAGTAGGTGTGCTGGATGATCCATGGGATAGCAGATAGCCAAGCAGCCGTCGCCGCATCGCGACGGGTAGAGGGCGAGGAGAGCGGCTACCCCGCACAGAGGCTCTGCAGCGAGCTGCGCAGCACCATGGCTTCATTCATGAGGTTTGGCAGGCGGTGATAACAGTGACAGAGGACGTGGGGCGCGTCCGACAGATGGCCTGCATGGCGGGCCGCTAGACCGTACATGACGCCGGGCGTTGCAAAGGCGAATAAGGCAGCATGAGGGCCATAATTGTGACCTGGCCGGCGCATTGTTGGTTGTACACGTCAAACGGCCGAAACATGACGTTGCGGCCGCCGTGAAGCTCGACGCGGTTGGCTCGTCACGGCGAACAGCGAGAGGCATTGCCCGGGGTCCCTGTCTGCATCGCTGGACCCTTCAAGCCGCGCCGACTTGACCGAGTTGACGATAGCGGAGGCAGGGAAGCTTGAAATGCACATATACATCATCTTATAGGGTTGCTGGGATCGTTGCGATAGGGCCTTGGAAGAGCGCGAACGCCCGCGCAGCTGCTCGAGTGTCGCATAGCAGCCAGAATACACACTGCACGCACGCATCCACGCGGCTCTCTGCTGTCAAATCGAAGTCGTCTTCACGTGAAGCTGGCTAGCTCGACGCTTGTTGACTGACTGCATGCACGGGCGACGCTGCCGCCCGCCTAGCACACCTCCAAGTTCCATCTGCCAAGCTCGATTCAACACCCTGGGGCGGGTGACAACATCACCAAGCTCATCAACCCATCGCACCGGCCCAACCTGTCTCCCGTCGCCAGCTGCACGCATTCTTCACTGCGTCACCGCATTGTTGGCTGAACCTGCAGACCCGACACCAGCTTCACTCGGCCGGACTGCGACCGTCTGCGCCTCCAGCCATGGGCGTCTCCGACCTCTGCTACCGATTCTTCTGCTGCGGCGGTCAGTCGACCCAAATCTTCGCCGTGGGAGCTTGCTGACAAAATCTGACAGGCCGCTCGAGAGACAGCATATATGACCCAGTGCTGGCCGACAGCGAGCGGGAAGCTGTTGCCGACCTGCTGGGCTTCCTCGAGAACGTACGCTGCCCACCGCCTCTGCTGCAGCTGCTCCATGCTAACTTGCGCAGCGAGCCGAGACCGACTTCTTTTCTGGCGAACCCCTCCGCGCGCTGAGTACACTGGTGTACTCGGACAACATCGATCTACAGCGGTCCGCAAGCTTGACATTTGCCGAGATAACAGAGCGAGGTACATGACCCGGCACCACGCCTACATGCAGCATCTAACACCATCCGTCTAGATGTCAGAGAGGTCGACCGAGACACCCTGGAGCCTATTCTGTTCCTGCTCCAGAACCCCGACATCGAAGTGCAGCGTGCAGCGAGTGCCGCCCTGGGCAATCTGGCGGTAAACAGTACGTTCACACCCTACATCCTCGACGCGATGACTAACCATCGCAGCCGAGAACAAGGTAGCCATTGTCGCACTGGGAGGCCTTGCGCCATTGATCAAGCAGATGAACTCGCCCAACGTCGAGGTGCAATGTAACGCCGTCGGGTGCATCACCAACTTGGCTACACACGAAGACAACAAAGCGAAGATCGCACGCTCCGGCGCACTGCAGCCTCTCACAAGACTAGCAAAGTCCAAAGACATGCGCGTGCAGAGGAATGCCACCGGTGCGCTGCTGAACATGACACATTCAGGTAAGATGCTCGCTGTGTTTCATCATACTTGTGCTGACACAGTACCAGACGACAACCGACAACAGCTCGTGAACGCTGGCGCTATTCCCGTCCTCGTTCAGCTGCTATCCTCGTCCGATGTCGATGTCCAGTACTACTGCACCACAGCCCTCAGCAATATTGCTGTCGATGCAAGCAACCGCGCCAAGCTGGCACAGACTGAGGGCAGGCTGGTTGGCTCCTTGGTACATCTCATGGAGTCCTCCTCGCCCAAGGTGCAGTGCCAGGCTGCACTTGCTCTTCGTAACCTAGCATCGGACGAACGCTACCAGCTCGAAATTGTGCGCGCTCGTGGTCTACCCTCCCTCCTCCGCCTGTTGCAATCGTCCTACCTTCCGCTTATTCTATCCGCCGTCGCATGCATACGAAACATCTCCATCCACCCTGCCAACGAATCGCCCATCATCGAAGCCGGCTTCCTTAAGCCCCTCGTAGATCTGCTCGGCTCCACCGATAACGACGAGATCCAGTGCCACGCAATCTCCACCCTGCGCAACCTCGCGGCAAGCTCAGACAAGAACAAGCAATTGGTTTTGGAGGCGGGTGCCGTGCAGAAATGCAAGTCGCTCGTGCTCAACGTGCGACTCCCGGTGCAGTCTGAGATGACGGCAGCAATTGCCGTTCTTGCCCTTAGTGAGGAGCTCAAGCCCCATCTGCTCAACCTGGGCGTCTTCGATGTACTCATTCCACTCACCGAGTCGGAGAGCATCGAGGTTCAAGGCAACAGCGCGGCCGCTCTGGGAAACCTGTCTTCCAAGGGTAAGTCTAACTCATCGCTACTACAATCTTCGCTAACAAATACAGTCGGTGATTACTCGATATTCATCCAGAACTGGACGGAACCCGCAGGCGGAATCCACGGTTACCTCCGCCGCTTCTTGGCGAGCGGAGACCCAACCTTCCAGCACATCGCGATCTGGACACTGCTACAGCTACTCGAATCGGAAGACCAACAGCTAATGGAGCACATTGGCAAATCGAACGAAATCATCGACATGGTGACCGAGATTGCCGAGCGCAACATTGAATCGGACGATGAGGACAACGAGGACGGCGAGGGCGAAGTCGTCACCCTCGCACGCAGATGTCTTGAGCTGCTTGGCAAGAGCCCCAAAACTCTCGTCGAAGGATAGAGAAGAGTTGGATCGCATCTTATACCCTGTTTATCGGTTGTTCATCGCGTTGGCACTCTTGCTCGTATCCGCCATATTCCGGTTCTCTGCTAATGCGTTCATGTTACACACTGCTTTTGGGCATCTTGGAGGCTGGCGTTCAGGGAGCACAATCATCCTCAGTATCTCTAGCGAGCATTGGCGGAGCGGGCTTTTTACATACATTGGCATGCACATAACTTACCACTACTCTTACCTGAGCATTCGACGCGGACAAATTTGTAATTGATAGAGTTGGATCGAGGCTTCGGTCGTCAGGAAATGAATTAGATGATGTTCCGAGACTCGTGGCCTTTGGTATGATATGCTTCTTTGACTATAACTATGTAACAAGGCCCATTGCACAATGAAAAGTTAAATGCGAGAGCATCTGCTTATGCACCGACAGGTCTATGCCAGAGGCTAGTCAAGGCCCCTCACCTAGACATGTGACGTCGCGTTGGAGCTAACGAGTTATCGATAGCCAAAATATTTGCGACTCTCAGCGTTGCGCGAGTCACCACGCACTACCCTCTAACAACACTCGTACAACAGCAATGCCGCCAAAACCAAGAGGACGGGGAGCTAGTCGCGCTCGCGGCAGCGCAAGAGGAGGAGCAGTATCAGGGCGAGCCACGACTGGCGCGAGCGAATCCACAGATGCGACCCCGCAAAGCACAGCTACCGCCGATGCCTCGGAAGCTGCTGCTGAGCCTGTGGTCCCCAAGCAAGAAGACGGCGACGCGAAACCCGTAGTTAGTGGTGATGGCGCGTCGGAAGCCATAGAGTCGCAAGCCTCTGAGGCGCCTTCAGCGACTGCATCGTATGCTCTGTCCCCACATCTACTTGACGGCAGTACTGATATACGTACAACAGGGCTGTCGCATCACCCCAACCTAGCGCAGAACCATCCTCCCGCGCTCCAGTGCAAAGACTCGGCAGCCTCCAGGGCTCAGTGCCTCCTTCGCGATCTGCATCACCGTCTGTACGCGGCCGCGGCGGCACAACTCGGGGGAAGAGGGGCGTCAAAACCCCCGCCTTTACCGGGCGAAGGAGCAAAGAGGAACGAGACGCTATCGCAAAAGAATTGGCTGCCCGCGATCGAGAAAGGACAAAGGAGCAGGTTGCAGCGGAAGCTAGGAAGCAGGCGGACGCAACAAGGGCAGCAAGACGAGAAGCCAGCAAGCTGAAAAACGCTAGAGGTGGATTCAGTGGTGTTGCCAGTGGACCATTCTCGTTGGGCAGCTCCAAGGAAGGCATGTCACTCGCTCTGGCAATGGTTCTACGTACTGACTTTGACTAGATAGGAAGAACAACCCAAATCGCGGATACTCTGGTTTCGGATCCGGGTCGGGCTCAAGAGCGGAGCGCGTCAAGAACGAGGACGGCAGCTATGGAGGGTCTGGTTCCCGGTCGGGTGGAGGTGGCGGAGGTGGAGGCGGAAGTGGAGGTGGTCCATCTATCAAGAGAGAAGATGGCGGCCTCGTATCGTCTGATGAAGAAGACGAGGCTGATGTGCCACGCAAAGACATCGACTTGATCGAAATCTCATCCGACGAAGACGAAAGCAAACCCAAAAGCGCACCCACCTTACGCGGAGCAAGAACAGCCTTACCCGTTCGCATTGGCAGGAAAGAACACCAGGAACGGACATTTGGCATCAACACAGAAGCAAGCTCAGAGACTGCGGCGAAGATATTGGAGCAGGCGGAAGCGAGTGGGCAGTCACTCAAAGATGCTGCATCCGAACAAACAAGCCGGAAACCCAAGAACAAACCGAAGGACATGGAGATCACAGGTTCGCGGAAACAGTTCAAGGGCGTCTGGCATGATTCAGAAGACTCAGATGTCGTTGTCAAGACTGAACCTACTAGTGAAGACGAGAACATGGTCGATGCCGAGCAGGTGGGTCAGTCTGACGCTCCAGCTCAGCCCGCAGAGAAACAGGAACCACAGTCACCGGATGCCGAACGAAAGCCTAAACTCAGAAAGAAACCTATAGTAGAGCCAATCCTCCAAACCGATGAGGATCGCGCTGAATGGGCACGCTTCCAGTCCAATCTACGTCATATCCGAGCCGAGTTAGGTCCAGAAGAAGTACCCCAGGTCGACGGATCCGGCGATGTACCTATGGCAGACGCCGCCAGCACGGAGAAGAAGCCTACGGTACGAGACAACAACGTCTACTTGTTTCAAATACCACCCCTTATGCCTGCGGTGGAGCCACCGTCCATCAAGAAAGAGACCTCCGACCCTCAGCCCGCTCAACCGCCCGTGCAGCCATCAGTCAAGCCTGATCCAAAGATCAAACTCGAAGAGGGCAGCTTCTCCGACCCCTCTGCTAGATCAAAGGAGGGCGTACGATTCGGGAGTGGGTTGGTAGGGAAGTTGCGTGTGCATGAATCCGGCCGCACGACACTGGACTGGGGCGGCACAAGCTACGAGCTTACACCTGGACAAAAGGCCAGTTTCCTCCAGGAAGTCGCTAGCCTTAGCCTCCGACCTGAAAGCGAGAAGACGGCGCCAGAGGACGGGGGCGATGCAACAAGTCTTGGTAGAGTGAAGGGAAAGTTCGTGGTGGTGCCAAACTGGGGAGAAATGTTAGGGTAGGGTTTGATTTGACCCAGGCGTTCGTGACATGCATATCCTGGCGCTACAGGGATCAGTCAAAGTTTATGGGTTGTACATATGTGACTGCATCTCCCAGGACCGATATTGAAGTCGGCCACCAATCAGCAACAACTGCTTTAGATGAAAATAACTATTTGTACAAGAACAGGCGTTTTGCGTGAAACAGTAACTCGCAGCATTTCGCGCCTTGCTCCAATCGGCTCGGTAAGACTACCAAGGCGTGCATGCCAAAGTTCTAGACAATAGACGTAGGGTGGGGACGACGACGGACGATGCGGATCTAGGTCACTGCTGCGTCAACTAGTCGCTCCGCCAGGAATCCCATGGTGGCAAGTAGCGAATTCCGAATTCCCATGACCGGCCGAGTCGTGCACCTGCTTCCTGCTGCAACACCTGCATCTTCGCACACTGTAAGAGTACGGACTCATCTCAGCCACTGCATGCGATAGGAACGATATAATAACCTCCGGCGCGCTTTCGGCGCCTTCCCGCGACTATCCCCAGCATTCTCCACGCGCCATCCAATTACGGCATTGACGACGCAGATCTGCCACCATGGAAGCGGACATCCGGGAGCTATACGACAGCGACCCACGGCCAACCTTTATCGTCGACTGCCAAGGTCCGACTGCCATCATCTATCATGTCAACACCGCCCTACTCACGATTCAACATATCGCATCATCGCTGCAGTCACATTCCGCGCTGAGAGACTGGTGGGATCCTGCGAGTAGAGTTGCAGCACGCCATCAAAATGAGTTCCTGCATGGCCGATACAAATGGGCCAAATTCACATGCAAGCGCTGGTTGATTGTCACCATCATCGAGCAGCCAGCGCCAAATGATGAACAGCATGGCCACCTGCAGGAGCCCGCGCAATTGGCCCGAGGGAGGCTGGCTTCACCACGTCTGCAACCAGTGCCAGACACCATCTTTACCGTCAAGATCCAGTCGCCAGAATTACGCGCACATGTCGAACATATACGAAATGTCAATTGGTCTAAGACATCACTGGGTCCAATCAGTTCCTGGGGTTATGAGGGTAAAGTAGCCGTCACGAATAGCTCTCAAGATGTCTTGCTAACTTATTACTAGTATGTAGCTCCCTTGCGGTGCTAAGACATCTTACTATTCGTGCTAACAGCTTGATAGCTCAACGTTCTGGTCACCACACTGATGCTGGAAACGCGGCCAACGGCTCTCTTCCTTGGTCCCGAGCATACCATACTGTACAATCTCGCGTATGCCTCCGTTAGTGGCTCAAGGCATCCCGCTATCCTTGGTCAAAGTATTATTGATGCTTGGTATTTACTTCACGCGCACATACAATGGTCCAGTATCTAACTCGCTCTAGGCCTGAACTCGCCGATCCTGTTAGTGCCACGATGGCTCGCTCAGAGCAGACACGTTTCGCAGATGCTCCAGAAGAAGAGTATCATTTCATGGTTGAACGGTTTGGCTTTGTAGAGGAAGCCTTCTTCATATGGAGCTTGGTACCCCTTGTTGGTGTTAAAATCGACGGCATGTATTCCATCGTGACTGAGGTGACGAAACAAAGGTAGGCATCCTGCATGTTTGCTACGAACGACAGACTGATTCACCAAACATAGATTATTGGAACGACGTGTCGCTGCCCTGCTCAAAGTAGGCCAACTGACTAGCAAGGCAAGAAGCACCAAACAGTTCTGGCACAGCTTAGCCGAAGCTGTCAGGTCTTTCGAATACGACTTTCCGGCAGCCGTTCTGTATTCGCAGTGCGAGTTACATGACATGGCAGAATGCGACCTATCACCGAGAGGACCAATTAGTGAATGTACGCTCGAATGGTCTATCGGCTACAAGCCTAATCACCCGGCCATACCTCCGCAGTTGGACATAAGCAGCGACGATGGCTTAGCTCGCGCTATGCGCGACGCAGCAAGAGATGGGACTGCACTTGTGTACCAGGAAGAAGGAGGCGTATTGCCGCAATCGCTATACCATGATCTCGAGAAGCGAGGCTTTGGAGATCCCATAGAACGTTTTATAGTAGTCCCAATCAGGACTTACGATGAAACTATCGTGGGATACCTTCTGCTTGGCCTGAACACGCGGCGGCCGTTCGACGACGAATACAAGGACTGGATCAAAGTGTTTTCCAACTTGCTCGGTGCCTCTGCGGCCTCGGTAGCACTTCACGAGGAGGAGATCAGGAAACGAGAATTCCAGGAAGCACAAGCTGCGAGAGATCGAGCAGCTCTCAATGCAGAAGTTGCGAATCTCACACTGGAAGCCAGTCACGTAGCTGAAAAGCTCCGCAACTTTCACGATATCGCGGATGAAGTCGGCCTGGGGTACTTTGAAATCGATGTCAATGGCATATTGCTTCATGCTAACGTAAGAACATTTTGGTTAGGAAACTGGATGTAACTAAACTCAAGTCAGGAAACGTACTTTGCTCAGACTGGCCACCGGAGAGACTTTCTCGAGGTCCCGGTGTCGGCTTATAAGGAGTGCGTCTTTGAGGAGGACCTAGCCATGGTGGATAGCCAATGGAAGATGCTTGTATCCGGCGCACCGGCGACATTCGAGATACGATGGAAGCGACCAAGCCCGAATCATCAGAGTGGAGAAGCTGGCGGCGACATTTCTGCTGCCGACAACGTTCTTTGGACATTATCAGCATGCATGCCTATCAAAGGTGCAAACGGGCTTGTCACAGGCATATTTGGATGCAATACCGATATCAGTGCTCAGAAAGAAGCGACTAAATCCGTACTATTGCGATCGGAAGCAGAGCGACGTCTGGCTTCCTTCACAGAGCTTGTACCCGTGGGTTTATATCATCTCAACCCAGACTTGACGATGAGATATGTTAACGACCAGTGGTTCCGCATTACCGACCATCCCAAAGTGCCCTTCGATCAAGTAGACTGGCGAACTATTATCGATGACGATTTGATAGACCGATGTGTTCATGAAATCGAGGTCGCCAGACGCAAACGAGGACCACATACCTTCTCAATAAACCTCAAGAAGAGGTGGATGGGTCCTGACGGTATTGAGACACCCACTTGGATTCTTGTCAGCGAGACGGCGTATCCCGATGAGACTGTGACGGGAACCATGACTGATGTCAGTCACATGGTATGGCTTGAAGCTATTCAGAAGAACAGAGTCGGAGAAGCGCTCGAGGCAAAAAGGCAGCAGGAGAACTTCATTGATATGACGTCTCACGAGATGCGGAATCCATTGAGCGCGATGGTACAATGCGCAGATTCCATATACTCATCACTGAACGAAAGCAATGGACTCGCGAGCGGAGATACCTTGGCGTTACAACCTGTCATTCAAACACAATTAAAAAGCTTGATCAGCACCAGTATAGACGCAGTCGATACGATACAAGCCTGCGCTACGCATCAAAAGCGAATCGTGGACGACATCCTCACTCTGTCAAAATTGGACTCGAAGCTGCTGGTCATCAGTCCCATAGTGTTACAACCCTCGGCTCTTCTACAGGACGCCTACAAGATGTTCAAGGACGAGGCGAACAAAGCTCGCGTGAACCTGGAAGTAAGATGTGACTCGTCCATTGCGGATTTGAGCATTGATTGGGCGATACTGGACCCCAGCCGAGTTCTACAGGTCCTCATCAACTTGCTCACTAACGCCATTAAGTTTACCCAAAGCCAAGAAATGCGCAAGGTAGAAATAATCATGAGCGCATCACGCGAGGCAGAACAGATACCCGATGTCGAGTATGTGCCTCAGGAAGCCGTCAGAAAAGATTTTTTGACACAGGCCGAATGGAACAACGCTGGCGAGCCGTTTTATCTACACTTTACTGTCAAAGATACAGGATGCGGTCTGTCTCCCGAGCATAAAGCCAAACTATTCCTTCGCTTTTCGCAGGCGACCCCAAAGACACATGTTCAGTATGGCGGCTCAGGCTTAGGCCTGTTCATCTCGCGCGAACTCACCGAAATGCAAGGCGGAAGCATCGGCGTATCCTCCGTTCACAATGTTGGGTCAACATTCACATTCTACATCAAATCACGGAGGGCAAAAGACCGAAGTACCCTTTCAACCACAACCGGTCACAAGAAGAAAGACAGCCTGTCGAGTCGGTCCAAGGCTCAGATCATCCAGGGCGATATCAAAACCCCCGACGGAGCACTGCCTACCGCCGTCCCCATAGAAGATCAGGAAGATGGGAGAGCAATCAATGACCACAAATACCACATTCTCATCGTAGAGGACAACCTCATAAATCAACGCGTCCTATCCACCCAACTCAAAAAGCTGGGACACACAATTCACGTCGCAAACCACGGTTTTGAGGCTCTCTCCCAGCTATCGCGCACATCGTTCTGTCCGACACCAAGCGAAACACCGCCAATTCCGCTTTCCGTTGTTCTTATGGACGTTGAGATGCCTGTAATGGACGGATTGACGTGCACAAGGCGAATACGGGAGATGGAGAAGAATGGCGAGTTGAGCGGGCATGTACCGATTATCGCGGTCAGTGCGAACGCGAGAAGAGAGCAGATTGATATGGCGAAGGAGGCAGGCGTGGATGAGGCGATCTGTAAACCTTTCCGCATCCCGGAGTTAGTGGCGTTGATCTGGGGACTGGGGGTTTGAGGGGAATGAAGTGGGCGGCGATGCGGCGTTGATCCCGAGGTTTGCTGCATTCAGACTATGATATGGGAGCAAGCACGTAGTATGCAAGGCAATGTATACTTGTACTCAAAACATTTGTTATTGAATGCGACACACTCTAGTCACGCCTTGTAGTGTGAATCAAGGAGTCACGCAATGCCAGCGTAGATCTAGGTCGGGTCTGCCTACAGTGCAGGCTTTCGCGCCGCCGATGCCATGAATATAGTTCGCCGATGACGCATTTCAACCACGATCAACGATTGAACCATGCTAAACCTCTATCGAAAAGCCCCCAAATTGCTTCCAGAACATGTGCATCTAGCGGATCTTAGTTT